CTGTTCTGATCACCTTTACAGAAGAGAATTATCATATGAAGCTCTGAAACGGATTTAATCATCTCAGCTTGATCAATTATTTCTCAATGATGCTGATGTAAACAAGCTGTTTGAAGATTGTCAGTCGACTGTAAATCGTGTCAGTTCATTCGATTTTGATGATTCAGCAAGTCTTGATGATTCGGATTACGAATCCATGACTGACCTCAGTCGATGTATTGTATTTTATATTGTCTTCATCCGCTATCTAGGCTATTTTTGTATATCTCAGATAATTTCAATGATTTACTCGATCAATTGACCACAATACGTAACACTAGTGTTCGCGCCGTTTGACTGGCACTTGCTATATTTCTTGCAAAATTACGTTAGGAACTTAGCAATACCGTTCTCGCCTGCTTATTTGGGTTTAAATGCAAGAGAACTGTTTCTCACATTTGTCATGAAATGCGAACGGCACTGATCAAAGATTTTGAACCGAAATATCTAAACTTTCAGCATAGGGATCGAAACACAGTTCTCGCTCATCATCAATCAGTGATTGCAACTGAGTTGCTAACAGAAGGTTCCAATCAAGTTGTTCTCATCGCTGATGGAATCTATATTTATTGCCAAAAGTCGTCTAACAGAGAATTTCAAAGGCGCATGTACAGTAGTCATAAACAGCGACACCTTGTGAAATCGATGATCATCATGGCAAGCGTGAATATAGTGAAAAATTAAAAATTACAAACAAACATAGATTAAACAATAGCAGATAATGTCGATAGGTCACATTTTAAAAAATCGGTTTTTTACTGAACCCTTTTTAACTTTTATAGTAACTTCGAAACCTAGAATGGTTTTTCCCAAGGATGTACGACTAAATCGAAGCCATTAGAGTTTGGAATCACTCATTCAGGATTTAATACAAAACTTGTAACATTCCGCACTAAATCCTAAAGGATTTGTATCCAACCGGAATGATTTTGTTCTTCTGACGTTGAACATTTGTGTTTCATAGAACTGAAATAGGTTTTGGGATAAAGGCTTCGGTCATGTATCTGCGAGAAAAACCATTTTAGGTTTCGCAGCTGCTACTCAACTTTAAAAGGGTGACGTAAAAAACTGATTGTTTTTTACTACAGCTGTTAATCAACTCGACAAAAGAGATTTACCTCATGATGCAACATGTATAATGTTCGTTGTGAGGAAAAGAAAAGGACAGATGAGATCTAGAAAAAACACTATTATCGTAGTATACCAATGACACGAAAGCACATTCAAAGACTCTCACGTTATTCCAAATGGGACGGATATATTCTCAGCGTGTTGGGTCCATTCTATGCGGATTCATCTAACAATGATGCTGCGATTTTGAAACATTGTAGGCTTAACAACAAACAAGAAGTATTGACGTGGCTTCGTGATGATGATGCGCTCGTATTGGATCGCGGTGTAGGTCCTTATACCTAGTGATTATCCTATTGAAGTTCATCCTGATAGGTTCGCGATATCATAAATGTTGCACTTCGCCTTGGCCTCAACGTTGCCATGCCTGGTTTCATGCACAAGGAAAAGCAGCTTTCAGCTTAGGAAGCAAATCGAACACACTTTGTGACTAAAACCCGATGGGTAATTGAAAGTGGTGAGTGTGGAGTTGCTTGTTTGGACGATATTTAAAATTGAATCACTGAAAAACATCTATTTCTAATAATCTCAAATTTCAGTCAATGGAAAGATTAAAAATTGAAAGTTTTTCGCGCAAACTGCTAGGATTTCATCACTTCTGTTCGTAGGTGATAACTTGGATACCATTTGCGTTCTCATCAACAAGTATTACTCTCCGGCGATTAAAGATATTAATGAGGGAATTGAGATAGCGGTGAAGATGCGGGAAATGTGGAAAAAAAACGCAATTAAAGAACCGACTCGAACAATACGATGACGAGACAAAACTGTATCGGTCTAAGTATAATGTTGCTACATGTATCATTCCATCAATTACTGAAAATGATATACGTGGTCTCACATTCGGTAAGGACCAACTACTGTCATCTTTCTGATATGTTCTCGTTTATTCGGATCCTATCAAATAAGAATGGCTAAGTCTTGTATTCTTGAGCATCCGCGTCAATCGGATATCAACGAAGAACAAATAGAGTTCATTGTGCAGTTATGCAAAGAACATAAAGATCGGACTAGAGCACGATTTCAATGACGGCACTCAAAGTAAAAACAATACATAGCTATCGTACAGCTTCACGAGAAGCACGAGCAACTAATGCAAGGCTGGTACTGCACCTGTACTTCTGGTGCACGAGAAGTTGGTATGTGTTTACACGTGACAGCACTTCTTTGGTATCTGGGTATCGAAAGAGCTGTCCTCAGACTGTTAGACGCTGTTGATGATAGCATGAAGTTTTCGGACAATGAAAAAGATACACACGCAGAGAATCAATCGTCCTCGTTTTTGCTACCACAACAGATAAAAATGATGCCAGCGACGAGGATTCAGATTGGTGACTTCGTTTCTTAACGGCAAATTATTTCAACTGCTATTCATTGTTTACTATCCTGCTTATCACTATTTCTTGTGCATGCATAATCACCAAGCACAGTATTAAATTCATTAAGACAGCATCAATAGAAGATTGATATTAGATGTGACTATCATTCATGAGCTTCTGCTTAACCAATTCCAATGGACAGTAGGTGAATGTAGCAATATTTAAACGAATGTCTTTAGAAAAATCGTATGGCTTTTTTAACCGAAATAAGTAGGATCTAAATAAACCTTATGACCAGTAGATCGATGAAGCCAATAGTCTTCATACAATTATCTAGCATCACTAAAATAATCTAGATGTCAATAATAATATGAATCTCGTATAAAAATTGATATCACATCTGACTTTTGCAAAAAAAAAGTAACGAGAACAGAAAATGATATCACTCTTACAGATTTATAAAAACAATATGTACCTATTTCATTAGAGTGTTTCCATTTTTCTGATTCTACAAATACTAGCTTTTTTGTAGCTGACAGAGAAGGCCATCTGACAAGTTATAATGAGAGTTGACTTTAAAAAGTTTTTGAAGGAATAGTAAATCAAATATGTTATACTATATGTAAAAATGGACATAGTTTTTACTTTGCAGTCTTGGATTTTTTTATTAACCCATCTTTTATAATTTTAAAAATGATAGGATTTTGTAGCCTTGAAAAGAGCTATCTGATGAGATATAATTGAAGCTAACTTTCTTGAATTTATATAGAGGAAACTAATCTGAAAAGCTATGATGTCATTACTATGTATTCGTAATAAGGTAAGTCCAAATGATAAGGTAGAAAGTCCTCAAATGTATTTGAACTTACCTGAAATCTGATATTAAAGTACTCGTTAGTTGAAGCTTTTTCATCCTATATATGATTGTGCTAGATATAGTGTGAAAAGTCCAATAGACCAAATCACGATCTTACGCGCCCCTGTCCTTTACTAATTCTACAGCAACAAAAAGGTATTAACGGTATACAAAAACATGATATTGTAATAACAGTGGCATATTCCTAATTTCAGATATATTCATGTTGAATTACTTCTACCATTGTCTCTCAGTTTATTTTTAAAAAGTGCACATCTTATTTGTTTTTACGTCGTTCTTCTATGCTTATCTTTAGTATTATAAATAGATGAAACATCGCTCATGTCTATCACTTCATGCAGGAGAAAGAAAACATTGATGATCATACCCTAGATAAATTATGATGGGTATAGACTCAAGTTTGTTTAGTTTCGAAAATATACGAATAAGTACTGCAGCTGAAATTGAAATGAACTATTACTTACTTCTTCTAATTGATCATGCAAAATGGTGAAATATATTTCATATACTATACTCGAGCAGATCTTGTTTTTTGAGACAAAGTAGTCATCAGCCATTTTAGTCTTTGTATGTTTTAAGTGATATTGAACAACTGAACACACCGTCGATGTGATTTTCATCTATCTTTTTTTCTTCTGCGGCTTACTGTTATAGATCTAATATCTGCACTGATATTCTTAGCTTCACATTTGATATGTATGTTTTATATTATTGATTAAGATACGAAATAGCTTCCTTTGATGCGCTCGCTTGTCCACATGGTTTGTAATATATAATGGAGTGATTTGTGATGTACAGAGGATCGCTTGATATGATAGAAAACAAGAATTAACGAAGCGTGAATGTAAGAAAAAGAAAAAAGAGAGAGGCTTTTGTAATCATTATCTGCGTCACATAATATAATTAATACAATGAGAAGCTTGTTGCTATCGAATATTGGAATAGATTAACTAATGTTTACGATTGGTTCTTTCCATATACAAAGTTATTTTAGATCTATGAACTAAGAAAATGCTCTATGCTCTTCAATCATATAGGATAATATATCTGCTCAATCATTTTAGTTTAATCGCATGAAATATGTTAGTTAATCTTGCTACACATGTATCTATGGAACTTTTATTCTTTACTAATAGTAATACTGTTATAAAAGCACAGATATCTACGACATTGATACATTCGATAAACTGATGTTTCGAAAAAAACGTGCTCTTCTAATATAAAGGATGTGTAATAAGTTCTGATTCCCATTCATGTAATATTGTTTTCTTATACGTTTTTTCAGTAGAAGGTGTGAGTGTGGGGTGTTGGTGTGGTGTCATTGTCTCTTAGTGCGCACGACGCACCCACACCCTTATTTTGAAATCACTGAACATATAGCAGCTACGGAACAAACATGTCGAAATGGACAACCAGTACAACTTACCGATTACTATTACAAAGACACGGGGGATTATGATATTCAAGTCTTACAACTTGCTCTTCAGACTACATTAAATGTGCAGCTTTTACGAATTGATTAGTTAGAATGCAGTGGCTGTCCTATTCGAAATCTTACTTTATCAAATATTAAACATTTTCAAGCATTTTTGATTCAAGAAGATTATCATTATTATTGTCTTCGTAGTTTTCGATCCACTAAAGATTATCTCTTTAAAATTGATTCTAAACATTCAATGTACCATGAACCTATTCATAGTGGACGTATATTCGAATATCTTGCAAAACTTCTTGACTCAAGTTGTTCTATCTTCGTCATTATAGAACATGCATTACAAAATATTAATCAACAAATTACTCTCGATAATATTCCAAAAGCATTATGGCCTTTACCAGATGCTGCTGCTGATTTTGAACTTTTTCTCGGATTTGATCAATCAGATAAATCGTAACACAAAAACGATAATAACTAAGTATAATTTTCAAAAATAAAAAAAAAACAATAAATAAATACCGCAATCTATGATTCATGATAAATTTATTATCAAAAGCAAATTAATAAAGATTTGTGCAAGTATATTGATTTCTTTTTTAACTTTACCATATTTGACACTCTGGGAGTATAGATAGACGAGTTTCATTGAGATCATTATTCATTTGCTTTTTCAACAAACTTCATAGATATAAGTATAGCTCTCTTGTGCACAAAAAGAAAATTTCAAATGTGAAAAATTCCAATCCAAATTAAGATATAATTTGCTGCTTTAAGCGCTTCTTCGTATTGAAATATATTCTTCATTTTGTCTGCTCTATTATTGTTTTAATTCAACTTTTTTTTTATCATTATTTTTCAATATTTCATTTCTTTGTATGGATATTTCATTTCTTTGTATGGATATTTCATTTTCACCGATATTACCAAATGAAATGATTGATCGTATAAGCAAAGAATTATCTGGAATAGACCTATTTCATTTCACATTAGCTAATCACTCCGCTCTTAGTATTAGCAATTATCATTTAATACAATTACTTTATTTACAACCTGATCTTTCATTCGATAAAGAAACGAAATCATTACTTGATATGAGAAAATCACCGCATTTCATTTCGGAAAATGGTATTATGCTTACACTATCCTCATACAAATGGAATAATTTTGTTTATGGAGCATTTACATTAACAATAATCGAAAATACATTAAAGCATCATTCTACAAACCTGTTCTGTTTATACTGCAGACTATGGTCATCTAATCCATTTTATTAAACTTGTTCCTATCCTACTTTAGATATTTTTAAATATTCATGTGAGAGATATTGTATTTTTTATATTTATTTTGATCAAAAATTAAACCTTGAATCTATCCTACTTTCTTTAACTAAACGATGAGTTTCAATTACTTTAGTTTTTCCAATTATGAAATTAGAATATTGCCATATATTTTTTAAACGATCAGTAAAATTCATTTCAGCAAAGCTCTTCTTTGATAAGCACTAAAGACTGAATTAAAATAAAAATTTCTAGCAAAACAAAACGGTCTATGTAAAAACATAATAAATAAAAATATCATCGAAAAAATATAAGTATATAATTCCTATGTTATTCATATGAACAGACCTTCTCGAACCACGTATATTAACCAATGAAGAATCTATACTATTCAAAATTTGGGACAGCAATCAAAATATATCAAATATTGTTATCAACTTGAATCAATTCATTGAAAATCTCACTTGCCGATATGAATATGATACTTGGAGACCTTATATTGATTGGGATATATTTGTTATTGCTGGTGGTTCAATCTTTTCGTCTTTACTTGTCGAACCTGTAACAAAAAATACATCTGATATTGATTTACTTTTTTTAAAACAAAATTCACGATTATTTAAAACTGCAGAGTAAGTCGTACAATTTTTCTTTCTCTTATTTGTCAATACTATAAATAATCAACTTATTCTAAACTTACTAGTTCGATGTTATAAAAAATGTATTTCGAATCTCACCTCATCTTCAAACTTACTTCAAAACATTCTAAAATCAATAAAATAAAATTAATGTGAGATGTTTCTATATCACGTTTGCTAATGTAATCACTATCAGCTATAAAAAAAATACATTACTTGATCTAACTAAAAACCGGTACCTAATATCACCAAATTTCAATCGTTGTAATTTATAAAAGATTGTGAATTAATTCAAAAAAGATAGTAACATTTTTGCTACACATTGGCAAACTAAATTCAAAGAATTCTACAATCAGAAGAATTTATAATATTTGTGGATTTCTAACTCATTAATACAGTGCGCATTACTGCAAAATTAATTAATTTCACTAAGAAAATTCCTTAGACAGCGGTTGTAGTTGTCGGACTTATGAAATATTGGTATACTATTTTACATAAAATAGAATAAAATTAAGTTCAGTTAACTACGTTTCGCAAACTATTATTTGTTCTCGTTGGTTATGTTTAAAATGAACTAGAAAATCGATTACAAAACAAATACTTTGTTCGGCGTAAAACTATTTGGTCCAATAGACTAATTCAATTTGAGTTATATCGAAAAATCACAATCAACGACATTTTCAACGGCAAAAACTTCTTCCCCTCAATCATTATTCAACTTATTCGTTCAACTTTATTTCCTATCACTATTTCACGAACCCTATATTCGTTTGATCTTGATATTTGTGCTTGTGCATTTGACTCTAAACGAGTAATTATTTCCTTTAGTTGTTTGCAAGCATTGAATTCTGGTCATACAACATGCTATGCAATGCCAGTTACTACATCGCAATATATGAGAAGAGTTTCACGTTTACTTAAATATCAACAACGTGGATTCAATATTCTTTGTCCAGAAGAATTCGATATAAATGCATTTCTCGCTACAAGCATTGAACACTGCAACGAATCTCAGCTTGAAAAAATGTATCGTTTTCGAAGACGCCATTTCAATGATAACTATGATTCATTCTGTCTACAGAAAAAATTTTGCAAACATTATAATTTAACATAAATTCTAAAAAACAGGATTAAAACAAAGCAATATTCATATTCTACACATCATAAATCGGCAGTGTCTATGAACAAAAGTTTTGCTTTATCCATTATCATTCAGTAGAAACGATGCTTGTCAAACAATCCAAAATCTATTCTGCAATCGCTGGATTCTTTCATAATTAACAAGTATATTTATTTATAATCATAACAACATTGCATATCAATGTTCATAAATAATCATCTATTTCATTTTTGATATTGTCCCAGTACGAGAGTATCAAAATAAATTTCAAATTCTTCTACTTTGTAAACTCATTTCCGTTACTAAAATCTTTGTCACGTCAATTGATGTCTTAAACACGGAATTATTTTTTAATTTAATAACATTAATTCGTACGAGTAAAGTAAATACACAAAGTTTAAAGTATTCAAAAATCAATAAGATTCAGATGAGTAGAAATTCATCTGGTAAGATCATTTTGAAAAACTGGCAATTCGTTGCGACGTACTTGACTTTTGATAATATCCTTTCATTTATTACAAATATTATTTCTCTTTTACAGTAATAATTGGAACACAAAACAAAATGTCATAGTCATATTCTTCTGATATTCTTCCATATAGTGATTTTATCTACTATTTAACTTGCTCGACTTTTCAGCTGATATTTCGCCGCTAAACATTTTTTAATATTGAAATATCCATAAAATCTAGATTCCAATTTCATTTTCATTCAAGACATGCCAAAAAGAATGATTTTCAAATTCATGAATCTCTATAAAATTATTTAATTTAAAAGTACCTAGTTTTTTTCAATTCACAGCTTATAATATATCACTGTATTTCATCATATTCATTATTATATTATTCTTATATTTTTCCTCATTAAGACACTCCTTAAATGTATATAATTATATCTAACTCACCAGTAATCGTGCATATGTTGTATGCCTAAAATCACGCCAATATCTTACTTATTTTCTGAAATAAACATTAATAATCAAATTTCGAAAACAACATCTCGAAGTGATTGAACCAAAACTATTTTTTTGTTCTTCAGCAACTTTTTATATCATTGATATTTTTAGTACTAGTATAAAAAAAGAAAAAGCTATTTCACTAACATTTTCTACTATTAAAAGAAATAAATGCGGAAACTTCGGATTTAAATCCAAGAGTTATGTGTACTTCAAAAAGTGAATCATAAAAATCAATCATCCTAGACTGTCTGAATATCAAAATTATACTGTGAAATCTACCATTTAAAATGTTGATTTATATTGCGCGTTGCCAAANCTTAGCACAATGTGAACCGGTTTCTGTCAAACAAATTCTTTGGCGACCTTCCGGTGAAACTTTCTCACTTTGGTCCGATTTATTCAGACCAATCAACTTCAATATCAACATGCGACAATGTGAAGATAGAGAGTTCTTCGATATTCTATGTCGGATGAGATTATGTATACTATTCTTTACTGATAGTAGACATCATAGTAAAATCTTTTCAGGTGAATACAATGAACAGGATGAAATGAAGATAAAAAGTAGAAGTATTCGAAAAGAAGATAACCCTCTTTACTACGAAGAAAGATTAGCAGAATTACACTCAACAGAATTTCAAAATGCCATATATGCATTCAGTGTAAGAATCAAAACAAATGAGAGAAACTCTATAAAACTTCAAGAAACCGCAATGAAACTAAAAACCCCAATATGGATAATTCAATCCATTGGCGTTCGTTGAGATCTATTAAAAATGCTTAATGCTTATTAATGTTTTTTTCTTTAGAAAGTTGGCATGGCTCGATCATTATTTTTTAGTCCAGTACAAGCAAGTAAAAAAGCATGCAAAATTGATTTAAAACCTTCTGACGACGAAAATGAGTGTGCATCTATGTTTGAGCAATTACCAATATGTATTGGCGCACGTGTAATATGTCGATGTAATATTGATTTTGATCGAGAAATGGTGAACGAAAACGAAGCAATTATAAAAGATATAGTATGGGATAAAGATGATGATACTATCTTACCAATGTCAAATCGATGTGTTTTTCCAAATTTAAACCGAGCATTAACTGCGAAATTACCAAAATGTATTGAACTCGGTAACAAATAGAGAAAAATGGACACAAAATGATATTTTTCTTCTGTGCTAGAATTAGATAATGGATCAATATATAAAATGACTCCAGAAGAAGTTAGTTTCAAAGATCAAAATGGTGTATCGATGACAAGAAAACAATATCCACTCAGTTTAGACTATGCAATAACAGTACACCGATCGCAGTGTGTGACTTATAATAAGCTAGTTATCGATTTAACTGGTGTAAATTGGAAGCCTGGTATGTTTTACACGATCATGAGTCGTACATGAAGATTGACTGATATCATTATCTTGGCATATGATCGTAAATCATTCAAAGTAGTAAATTTTGTTATGAAATACTGTTTACCATGTCTTAGCATACTAGGTATCTAAACCAGCACTAAATGAGATGTCTCGTTTAAACAAAATCGAAGAACAATATCCGATTAAAATTGGCTAGTACTTGAAAAATGAGGTACTTAGTATTGTTCTTCAAATGTAGGAATTTTTATAGATCAATATAGAGATACATAGAGTGATGTCTACCGAATTCATCTGATTCTGAGCAAATATCAGCAAGAATATCAAATACAAATAAAGAATTGTTATCAAATACAAATAATGAATTAATATCAAATACAAATAATAAATCAAGATCGAATTGCATAAATACAAAACAAATACAGTTAGAATGCATGTTACCGATCACAACTAACTCAATAACAAAACTCGAACATGTTATCATTTGTGAGGAACAGGAAGAACACTTTTGCGGACGACATGCTCTACGTGCACTCTCACAAAGACTTGATTTATTTAGTGATGAGTATTTATTTGATATCGCTGAAAATATAGCAGCTACAGAGCAAATATGTCGAAGCGGACAACCAGTACAACTTACCGATTACTATTGCAAATATACGGGAGATTATGATATTCAAGTACTGCAGCTTGCTCTTCAGAATACATTGAACGTGCACCTTCTACGAATCGATAAGTTAGAATATACTGGGTGTCCTATTCGGAATCTTATTTTATCAAATATTGAATATATCCAAGCATTTCTAATTCAACAAGATTATCACTATTATTGTCTTCGTAGTTTTCGATCGACTAAAGATTATTTCTTTAAAATTGATTCTAAGTATTCAATGTACCATGAACCTATTCCTCGTGGGCGATTATTCGAATATCTTGCAGAACTTCTCAATTCAAACTCCACTATCTTTGTCATCATGGAACATACAGTACAAAATATTAATCAACAAATTACTATTGATAATATTCAAAAAGCATTATGGCCTTTACCAGATGCTCCTGCTGATTTTGAACTTTTTCCTGGGTTTGGTTTATCAGATAAATGATATTTCAAAACGAGAATAACTACATATGATTGTCACAAATGAAAAAAAAACAACTACAGACTAAAATCTATAATTTATGATAAATTTATTATTAGAAGAAAACTCATAAAGATTTGTCCAAATGTATTGATATCTTTTGTAATTCGACTCAAAGTTCTTTTTAACATCATAACAATATAGATAGACTAGCTATATTGAAATCATTACTTTTGTTTTTTGATAAGTTTTATGAATATATTTTCTTTTTTTAACGAACTTTATAGATGTAAGTAGATTTTTCTTGTGCACAAAAAGAAAACTTTACATATCAAAAATTTCAATCCAAATAAAAATTATTCATTAAAATATAATTTGCTGATTTATGCGCTTCTTTATATTGAAATATATTCTTCATTTTGTTTGCTCTATTATTGTTATAATTCAAATTTTTCAACCATTATTTTTTTGCAATAGTGTACTTGTTTGAATGGATATTTTATTTTTACCAATATTACCAAATGAAATAATTGATCGTATAAGCAAAGAATTATCTGGAATGGATCTATTTCATTTCATATTTGCTAATCATCCTGCTCTTAGTATTAGCAATTATCATTTAATACAATTACTTTATTTGCAACCTGATCTTTCATTGGATAAAGAAACAAAATCATTACTTGATATGCGAAAATCACCGTATTTCCTTTCAGAAAATAGTATTATGCTTACATTATCATCATACAAATGGAATAGTTTTGTTTATGGACCATTCACATTGATGATAATTGAAAAAACGTTAAAGCATTATTCAACGAGCCTGTTCTGTTTATACTGCAGACTATGGTCATTTAATCCATTCCATTACACATGTTCTTATCCTACTTTAGATATTTTTAACTATTCATGTGAGAGATTTTTTTTTTCATATCTATTTTTAGCAAAAATTAAACTTTAAATGTATTCTATTTTTACTCAACTCAAATGATGGGTTTTAATTAGTATAGATTTTTCAATTATGAAATTAGAATATTGCTATACATTTCTTTCAATGATAAATAAATTCTTTGTAACAACCTGTTCTTTAATAAGTAGCACAGACCAAATTGAAATAAAAATTTCTAGCATAACGTATTGATCTGCATAAAAATAAATATAAATATCGTCGAAAATATAATTATATTGTTTCTATACTCTTGATATAAACAGATCTTCTTGAACCACGTTTATTAAGAAATGAAGAATTAACGCTATTCAAAATTTGGGGCAACAATCGAACTTCACCAAATATTGTAACCAGCTTGAATCAATTTATAGAAAATCTGACGTGCCGATATGAAAATGATATTTGGGGTCCTTATATCAATTGGGATACATTTGTTATTGCTGGTGATTCAGTTATCTCATCTTTACTTGTCGAACCGTTAACAAAAATGCATCTGATATCGATTTATTTTTTTTACAACAAAATTCACGATTATTTAAAACTGCAGCAGTAAGTCTAACAATGGTCCTTGCTCTAATTTCTCAATCCTAGAAATAATCATCTTATTCTGAACATAATAGTTCAATGTTATAAAAAAATCTTTTTCAAATCTAACCTCCAATTCAAACTTACTTCAAAACATTTTATAATCAATAAAATAAAATAAGTCTGACATGTTTCTGTATCACATTTTCTTATGTAATCAATATCCGCTGTAAAAGAAAACATTACTTGATCTAAGTATAAATCGATACCTAATATCACCAAATTGCGATCGTTGTAATTTATTAAATATTGTGAACTAATTCAAAAAAAACAGTAAACAGTTTGTTATAGATTGACAAAGTAAATTGAAACAATTCTACAATCGGAACAAATAAAATATTTGTGAATTTCTAGCTCATTAATAAAAAGCACATTAGTACAAAATTAATTAGTTTCGCTAGAAAAAAGTATTCCTTAGATAGCGATTGTAGTTTTCGGATTTATGAAATATTGGTATACTATTTTACACAAAATATAATAAAAATTGAGTTCAATTAACCACTTCTGTTAAACTATCATTTCCTTTTTGTTGGTTATCTTTAGAATGAATTAGAAAATCGATTACAAAGCAAGTACTTTGTTTGACGTAAAACTATTTGGTCCAACAGACTAATTCAATTTGATTTATATAGAAAAATCACAATCAACGACATTTTCAATGGCAACAACTTCTCACCATCAATCATTATTCAACTCATTTGTCCAACTTTGTATCCTATCACTGTTTCACGAATTCTACATTAATTTGATCTTGATATTTGTGCTTGTGCATTTGACTCTAAACGAGTACTTATTTTCTTTAGTTGTTTGCAAGCACTGAATTCTGGTCATACAACATGCTATGTAATGCCAGTGACTTACTCGCAGTATATGAGAAGGGTTCCACGTTTACTTAAATATCAACAACGTGGTTTTAATATTCTTTGTCCAAAAGAATTCGACATAAATGCATTTCTCACTACAAGTATTGAAAATTGCAACGAATCTCAATTTGAACGAACATACCGTTTTCGAAGACGCCATTTCGGTGACAATCATGATTCATTCTGCGTACAGAAAAAAAATTTTGAACATTATAGTTTAATATAAATTCTAAAGATAGCATTAGAAAATCCGATATTGATATTCTACGTATCATATATCAATACTATATCTGAACAAAAATGTTCCTTTATCCACTCTCATTCAGTATAGAGAATGCTTGTTAAACAATCCAAAATTTCTTCTACCATTCCTGCATTGTTTAATAATTAACAATTTTATTTACTCACAATCATAAGAGATTCCACATCGATATTCTTAAATGATTATTTATTTCATTTTTGATAGTATTTACCTATGTAAGAAAGAATCAAAACAACTTTCAAATTATTCTACTTTGTAAACTCATTTGAGTTACTAAAATTTTTGTCCCATAAATTGATGCCTAAGCCATAAAATCATTATCTAATTTAATAATATCAATGTCTTTGACTAAAGTAAATTTATAAAGTCTTTATTTTTCAAAAACAGCAAGATTCACGTAATTCCCACGGAAAATTTTTTATTCGAAAACCGCGGTTTCATCGCACACCACCGCGGTGTCAATTCGATAACCGCTGAAAACCGCGGTTCACAGCGGTTTCTTGCACCGCGTTCACAAAAAACCGCGGTGTGTGCACTCGTAACCGCGGTTTCAAATTTAGCGTTTATTACCGGTTTTATAAACCGCGTTGCATGCACTGATANTTAATGGCTGCAAGATGTAATATTAGTGTTGGTACTGCTGTTAGTATTATTCGTGATATTATCCATGCAAAATGTCGTAAAAAAAGGCCGGTGCATCGTTTATATCCAGCTGTCATTGAAAAGAGACGATCTCGAGCTTGGCGTATGTATCGTCGATTATGCAATGAAAAATATAAAAATTATGTAACTACTGACGAAGCATGGTTTTACCTCGACGCAAGTCAAGGTGTTAGAGATATATATTATGTCAGAAGTGATGGATTACCAGAAGAAGTTAAAAAAATCGAACGAAACGATTTACATCCTGTGGCTGTGCTGGTTTGGGCCTGTGTGAGCACACATGGTAAGACTCAGTTACATTTTGTTGAACATGGTTCAACAATTACCAGTGGATACTACATTGAACATATAATAGAACCATTTATTAAATTTGATATTCCTCGTTTATTCCCTGGTGATACACAAAAGAAAATGATTCTTCATCAAGATAGTGCACCAGGTCATGCAGCCAAAGGGACACTTAGTTATATGAAAGAAAAGAAAATTCAAGTTATAACACCTACAGAGTGGTTACCTAAGAGTCCAGACGCTGCTCCGATGGACTATTCGATTTGGGGTATTTTAAAAGAACGGGTAAGAAAACACAAGGTGTCAACGTTAAATGGATTGAAAAATGCTCTCAAACAGGAGTGGGCAAATCTTGAACAGGATGTAATCGACCATGCTTTGGAGAATTGGCCAAAGCGTTGTAGATTAATTTACTATGGTCATGGATCACATATCGAACATCTATTACAATAAATGTATGAAAATAAAAGAATAAAAACTTTTCTATTTTGTTTCAAAATAAACTGAATGGCCTGTAGTTGCCTCGCTATTTTTTACTTAATACATTTTATTTTTCCCACTTTGTCAAAATAGAGTGTCTGCTTCGATTGAAAAAAGCTTCTTCACAACAACATCGTTTTCCTCAACAACAATAGAAAAGAAAAGGTGTCACTTGAGATCGGACGAGCATCCGACAATTTATAAACAATTAGACAAAAACTTTTTTTTTCTCTAATCTTCATTTACGATTCACTCACATATTAGAATATCAATTTAATCTTGTTATTGGTTTCTTAGGAAAAAAAATTCATCATTCGTTGACGAAAAAGCTTTCCTTTTCTCGCTATTCTCATTAGTCACTGACATGATTAACATTGTTAAATAGGACATGAACAGATGCGAAGAAAGTATTGCGAAAATTAAGAAAGTTATTTTTCTCCTTTTCTTCTGTTGCTAGTATACTCACACTTACACACCCACCGTTAAGATTCAACCGATGTGTTGACTTTTTAGTGAGTTTTTCCTATGTGGACCCAATTTTTCGATAAAATCCTATTGGCAAGCTTCAACCTGAAAACTTTGCTTACATGAGAATTTCAGGAAGCTAGCTTATACACAAAATTTCAGAACTCAAACAGTTGTTTATTGATTTCTTTTAAAGCATACATAGTATGAAAGTTGCATTTCTTTCACGCACACAATCAGAAAATTCTGAATTTTCGTCCATAAACTAACCTCACTGAGATCTTCATCTAGGCTGACTTTTTAGACCGAAACTCAACAAAGAGGATTTTATCGAAAAGTGAGTTTATACAGAGAAAAATTCATTAGAAAGTCAACATATCGGTCAAATCTTAAAATCAGCACAGCCCTTTGGAAGTCTGTACTAATCTATAAATCTGATGTCACTGGACAAAATATAGGCTCAAAAGCTTTTAATCATCTTGAGACCTTCTCTCTTCATTTAAAGTATAAATCTTTTAAAAACTTCATTAGAACATTATGCAGTGTCGATAGACAGAAAAAGCATTGAAATCCGATGGAAAAATTTAGAGTAGGTTGGCTCGTTTAAGATCAAAAATTTATCTCGTCAACTTAGTTTTCTTTATGTTTCAAGCGCGTACCTCCATTATATGTTCCACTACCTGTTTGAATCGTTGCATTAAGTATGAATTTCATATTTAAAAAAAAAACAAACAAACAAAATAAAATTTTTCTTTTACTTTTCTACTAATTTCTTTGTTCATCTGAGCCTAATTGAGTATGCCGTTAATAGATGATAAGTGTAGATATTCCAAGTTCAAATTTTTCAATGGTATAAAATAAACGATTTTCATGATTAGTCCAATACAAATGACTTCCAAACGTATCTAATCAAAATGAGAATTTTGATAAAAATTCATAACTAAATCAATCGGATGTATAATATGTGTATCAATTAACATTGTACAATTTTCATCATTCATATTAGCTGAATCAATAGGAAGAATATGTTCATTAGGATTCTCAATCACTTCAGGTTCATAATTAATAAAATAAAGTATTTCAATCATATAATTAACAGAAATGGTCATTAATTAAGTTGCATAACGTCCATCATTTTAAAAACGCCATGTATAATCATGAATAAGATCATTTACATAAAGATTTTGACCAATACAATGGAATATAAAAGATTATTTCTCTCAATAAAAATAAAACTAGTATCATATTAATCTTCAATAAATACACCATAATTTGATACATTGGTTTTTGTGGAACTTCTAAGAAGACGACGAATTTCATCTACTTCAGATATTAGAAGATTAATTGTTTGATCGGTATAAAAAGTGATAAATAAAAATATTTGTCCTTATATCAACATCCGAAGAAAAACAATATATATTTACAGCGTAAATTCGGCAAAATTCAATAGAATTCAATATGATTTGATCAAATGACAATTCAATATTATTTTCTCATCATTACCATATGAGAGATCATCACACACATTGTTCTTTTCTTAATGTTTCACAAAGATGATAGAGTGTACAAGAATTCTATCTTATATAATACCGAATAAAAAACAAATCTGAAGTCTTGTCCTTTGATTGCTGAAAATCGTGGGTCGCTATCTGTTACCATTGTGGAATTATTAACATTACACATAACTTTCTTTAATTCTAGTCTGAGTATTACTTCGGCTAAAATGAGGCGTTCAGTAAGCCTAGTTCATGTTTATATTACATAGAGAGATTTCGATAATGATAGAACAAGTTTTTAAAAGTTTATAACTATGGATGTCTAGAATCGAATTATGACTGACAACTCAGCTTCAATGGCTCTCATGATCACGAACTTGTTTAGAATTTTTCTAGTCTTATCGAGACTTTTTTGAGTCAAATATTCGTTCAAACGACGAAAAAGAATAATTTTATGTTCATGTTTATTAATTTATGTTAAGAGAATATAAAGCATAATTGAATAATTCTGTGTAATTAATGAAAGACTTTCTATTAGAATAAAAACTATCTGAGAAAAAGAAGCAAGATAGATATTAAAAATATTTTTCCCTAATAAAATTTTCATTACTCAATATCTTGTGTTAACATTAACGCTAAGACATTGCTGATAGAGAAGCAAAAATGAGTACTATCTGTTGAATAACAATTCGACCTATTAACTGTAATATTAATACAGCTTTGTGAACAATAGTTTAATATCACATGTTCAGATTTTTCTGATTCTTTATTATATATATAACTTGCATAACATGAACAAACGATTTCTCATCTATTTGGTAAATCAGGATATGATTATTCATCGAATTCATCATCACAATGATTAACTAAATAATTAAATTAAAAATAAATAAATCAATCAAATTGCTTTATTTGTTTATTTTTATTTATTATTCATTATATAAATTTGTACGTCTTTAAATAATAAGTTATTAACACAATTCTGTAAGATTAAAATTTAAAATACAATGTAGCTGCCGTGTATAAACATAGGAAATTGTTTTTTTTTCTGCCTATTTTGGGATATTTCTTCGCCAATTTTTATAAATGCTATTCTTATTATCACTTGTTTGTCACGTTTCTTTATACTGAATGAAACTAAAAGACGCTAAACTATTTGAATTTTTAATAAACTGTTAAGTGTGTAGACAAAATCTACTATAGATGGAGGATACGGGAATGACAATAGACATTGTTTTTGCCTAAATGGAGACTTACACCTTCGTTGGCAAATAGGGACCTGATTTTATATCTGCGAATGAATCCATCTTTAGTAATATACCTTAGGAGACCTTTTAGATCATGTTTCACAAAAAGAAAAAGAAAACAAATCAAATACTGAAAACGATTGATTAAAAAATGGGGGATTATATAATATATGTTGATATTTTCTTGGTTTTTTAATTACTTGTAATCGAGACAATCATTATCTAAAGTAGCAGTATTTTATTACAATTCAATAAGAAAAAAAGAACATCAATAAAACATCCTAACTCCACTTAGTTGTTATTAATACAAAGAGTATCATTATGAATAAAACAACATATTGGGTAATACTGGCCATTAGGGTAATATACTCAACAGGTTACTTAATCAGAACTATCTCCAAATTGAGCATAATGATCACAAGGACTTGTTTTACTTGTACGATGATTAGATAAACATTTAAAGTATTCATTCCGAAATATTCGATAAGTGAGTATATCATCTCTACCACAATCATAATCGTCATCAAATAATCCTAAAATTACAAAAACAACAAATATTTATGCAAATTTTGGAGTTCTGTTGAATATCGTTTTCAAACTATTCTTGTGAAATACATCGATTATTCGGACATCGAAATTCATTCTCATTATATTCACGATAGACTGAAAAAAAATCGAATAAAGGAATTATCCAATTTTGATACGTTTTAAACATCATTTTTTTGTTTACTTTAACTAGACTTCAATATATTGATCCAAACTTGCAAACTTTCCCTCTCAAAAAGCAAACGCAAAATTCGAAGAAAAGAAAAAAAAACATTGATTATCACCACAAATTTAATAATTTATTTTTTGTTTTAAAACGAAAGAAACCATCATTATAATTACTGAATCTATAAAGAATAAAGTATTGAATTTAAAATAAAACTCATCTACCTTCAGTAAAACTAGGTCGGAATGGTAAATAATTATACTATGATCAAAATCTAAACGACAAGAGAGAAGTCCTCAAACTGATAAATTACTTTACAGTCAAGACTAGATGCATTATGTAAATCCAAATGAGTTTTGAACACATGCAAAAAAGTTTGTACTCTTAGCTTATTGCGGTCGAAATACTGTACTTTTATGTTAGTTTTTAAATGTTTCGCTCAGAAACACCAGAAAAAATACTTTTCGAACTTTGACCACAATCACAACCAAGGCTACTCAAATCGGATATCATGATATTACGAGCAAAAGAAATATGAATTTGTTAATCTATGAGGATTTTCAATAACCTACTTATAGATAAAGCGGTGGTCGCAGGATAACACGTGACCATAAGTACATCACATGAGGAGAAACATTTTTCATACATGAACGGCGCATGATCGAAAACTAAGTTAACAATGTGTTCAAGCGAAAGGAAAGCAAACGAAGTTTATCGAATTAAGTGAATAATGAAGAACTGTACTGTAATTCGAAAGATATTGCCAAAGAGAAATCGAATGTATCCAAAGTTTAACTTTCTTTTGTCATTATTATTATTGTTTTATCCATGTTTCATGTACATTACTTATTGCAAATAAAAGTAGTTGTGTGGCTATTTTAACGACTATCATGGCATTAAAAAAGGTGGTTTACTTGAGATACAGCTATTATAAAAGCGTGTCTTTTAAACCTCACATATATAACAGTAGATTGAGTGTCCTCATTTCAGGATAGAAGGAAACTAAAAGACATCTATTTATATAAAGTTTCAAGTCGAAATTATAAAATCAATTCTTCTGATATTTTTGACAACAACATTTAAAAACTACTGTAAATTAGTAATATTTTCTCATAACTGTGAAAGCCATTAATTAGTTAAGATATATCTCTCGTTAAATATATAATTCTGTCGAACATGAAAATTCTACCCATCATTTTCTGAAATCAACAACACGACTAACTGAGAAAGAGATTTTGTTTATTATTTATAATACTCTTTACTTTTCTAATATATAAAAAATTAAATTTCTCTACGATTTTCTATCTTGTACTTTATCTTTTATAATAAATACATCAACATTTCTATGTTATGCTAAATAAGCATTGTTTTTTTTTTGTTTTTAAAATATCAACATATTCTAATTTCTTTTTTAGACTAATTCTTCTAATATGTGCTTGTTTTCAGTCTAAATAAAATAAATCAGCACCTAATAGATCAATAGTAAGATAACTTGGTTGTGATAAATATCTTGAATGAAGTAATGTGATGTCATAACGACTATCTAATTCAGTAGAAAACGTATTTGATTATCTTTTACTATAACTATTGATTGTCTCCTATTGAATTCCATTCAAAAAGTTTTATTAATATATAATTATTTAGAAAAATAGAGATTCTTTCTCAGTTAGTTTCACGAAAGAATTATTTGTTCCATTTGATAGAAGTACTTTGATCAAAACAGGATAATGATCAGACGATTCTTCTTTTATAAATTCATCTTCTCGTATAGGTCATGTGTAATTCTAGAGTCAATCACTACAGAAAATCTTTGAGACATTGGATAATTGGAGCAGATTATTTTACAGCAAGTTCTATACAGACAACTTTTTTTTGCATGAAATCAAGTGGCACTAATTTGACTGAAAAAGATAATCAATATATAAAGCTCATGTACCTACAATAGCGTGATTTACGTTGACCAATTATAGTGAAAATATAGTGTATATAAAGACGAAAATACGATCGTAAAGACGCCATAATCGAGCTGCATCAAAACATCGCAACAAAGTATCTCAGTGATACAAATTAGAATGATTTTTGCAATGACTTTCATTTCAGAAAAAAAAACCAATACAATATAATATATTCTCTATCAGAAATTAATTTGAATTCTCGTATTGTACTCAGTCAACGCATTAAAATGAAACATACCACAGATTGTACCATAAAAATATGTCGTATGATAGATATTTTAATGATTAGTCAAGAACATTGAGAGAGACCGATCGATCACTGAGATTAAACTATCCCGAAGTCATCGAGTCAGTTATTCATTTTTATTTTTGACCACAAAATCTTTTGGATACGTACTGAAGTGCAAGAGCAAAACTTACATTTTTATTTTGCGCACGGATATTTTCATCACAAATACGCTCGCTCATTCTTAGTTATACCTTATAGACGATGAATCAGATAGATCATTAAACGATCAATCGATAGTATTCTTAAGAAGAATGTTGACAGACATTCATAGAACTCTCGTTATGGTAAATTTTACAAAAACAAGTTTGAATCCAGCGAAACGTGAACATCTTCAGTGAAAGAGCGATTTTTTCATGCTTTGCATCGTATTTTGTATTCAAGAGAATCTCAAATACCATCTAGTCTTATAT